TYTWAAAAAAMSTGCMGTTTTCCASYTMATTCTTGTAAYRTTTTTTCATTTTGTATCYAGGAACTAATTYCTATARAGWGRTTGCTTGAAGCARTRTTGGYGAAAYTTCTGATTAGACAATACTTGTGTTATTCCAGGACTGCAGAGTGTCAGGTCTGTTTTTGGTCTGATTTAAATTTTTTTCTAGTTCTTCAGGTTTACATTTTGGTGTGAATCTTACACCAAAGGAGCAGTATTACCTAAAAAAAAAAGTGTAAATGATAGGGTATGTTTCAAAGTAAGTTTGAAAGTGTTTCCTTAAGTTTAGAGTTTAAATAGAATTGTATTTAGCTTAACTCAAGTTTTGTCTTGGCTTCATGCAAAAGTCCCCTGGCTTTGGTTTGTGCTGTAAATTCATTTTAGTTGACCCATTGGAAAGGCTGATTTGGGGCTTTCCCCTTGATGGCGTAAAGGCAAATAATGGGGATGCAACAGCCGAGCTTACAACAACTACTTAGATGCAAATTCTTCCTGCATAACCCAAATGTTGTTTTCCACCGTGGCTACTCCTCCCTCTCCTTCTGAAGCTGCCTCATCTCCAGGGGAGCAGCCTGAGGCTCCCAGCCTGAGGTAACTGGGGCAGTGAGGACAYGAGGTTCTGAAAATCAGAGAGTGACTGACATCCACCAGCTCTGCCTGGACAGAATGTTTAGACGGGAAAAGAGTAGAAATCTAGAAAACCTCAAATTATACAATGAAGTTAAAAAACCAACACACACCGAAAACTAAACCGCATTAAAAAAAAACACCAAACCAACAGCAGCAACAACAGCAAAACCAACTGAAAAATACTATTTGTTTTTATACTGTATTAAAGTGGAGTCCAAATGAAGCCGTGCAGCTGGAGGGAGAAAGATGAGGTAATGCATACAAAATAGCAATCCAGTTCACTGATTGCAATGTTCTCAAAATTTTAAGTGTAACCTCAGTGTTTTTGAAGCAGTTAAAATGTGGTCACTACCGTGGCTGCGTGTGTTCTTGTGGCTTGTCCCTGCTGGCTTGTGCCCACTCCATGTCCCCAGCGCTGTGACTCCCCCGGGAGGTGGCAGACAAACACCGCTCSGGCTCGGCTGGAAGCAGAGCGAGGGGACGAGCTGCACGTAGCTGGCAGCCGCCCAACAGAGAAAATGGCACGGCACCAATTTAGGGGTTTTRTGTCTGGATTACAGGACTTTTTCCTGCCACACTGCTGTTGGACATCACAAGTGTCTTTCTGTGAATGCTACTGTCGAGTCACAGCTTGCAGTGATGAATCATTTTAGAAGGATATTAACTTYACCTTATTTTAGAAAGCATCACGCACATTTTGGGTGTAAGGGTTTTAACAGTTAAGAAGAAGGGCAGAAAGCATGAGCATATGGAAGGAAAATGGAGTCATCAAAGGATGATCGGAAATCAAAGAGGGAACTTGCCAGTAGGCAGTGTAGAAGTCATCCAACAAATAAAAGGGAGAACAAAATGAGGTGGGGCAGAACATACTTACTTGTAATTGGTGTTATGGTTTTGCATACCAGTATTTAGCCTCAGGTGTTTTCTGGTGTATGCTTAYGCTGGTTGCAAATACACAGACAAAMCCTTTCAAAAAACAAAGTGGTGATTGCAATTATTTCTSACTTAAAGCCAGTRATACAAAATTTAGTGTTCATYGKGATTATTGGATGTAATACTGTAGTGCTTCCAAAAAAYGCTAATGATTAACAACAAATAAAAATTGAGTATTTAAGCATAATGTTGTTTGCACTCAAATGCCTTCTACTTAGCTGAGTAATCCAATCATCCTAAGATGAGTGTGTTAAAATGAATTTATAAGACATCAGATGCTGTTCATTTTCATAATATACCAGAGAACGTAAACACAGAACATCACAGGTTTCCACTTCAGGGTGTTTTGGGCAGAACTCTTGTTTTCTTAAATACAAGTTGTTCTCARCTAGGAAGCTGGCCCTGCTGACATAAATTCTACCTATTGAAGAGCTGTGTTTGTGCAGCCTGGAGAAACAGGAAAGGTGGAACTGGCCACCCGGTCCACCTGTAATGGGGGTGGGGAGGTTGCTATGCAACTTTAGTATTTGATGTTTTGCTTGAAAGCTCAGCTCCAGGAAACAAGGGTTTACATAAGAATCAATCAATCTTCCTTTCTTCTGAGTTTGTTTCCTTCTATTATGAAACAAAGCTTGTTTGTATGATTCAAGTACATCACAAGCCCCCAGAAACCTAGAAGCAATGTGAAAGAAATGAAAGTTTGGGGTTGTTTCAATCTCCTTATTTTAGGCAAACTTGACTGACAAATCTTGGAAATGCCTGTACCGTCCTGGTGCTGGGATAGTAACCATCCCCTGCTCCTGCATTCACAGTGTACACCTTGATCCACAAAATACCCCTTGCTTCAGTTCACCGTCAAAACCCATGGTGACTGTTCTGTATGTCTCACCATATGTTACATTTCTGTCTCTAATGCAGCCATTGTGAGAGATTATTTTTACCAAAGCTCATTTTGAAGAAATAGCTGATGTTCCTGAACCTCCTGTCCAGACCTGCACGCTTCACATGAAATCACAGCCCCCTACGAGTTCACTCCTGTGTAAATTTACCTTGACAGATTGCATGCACTTTGAATTAAGGACTGTGTTTTCATATTTATCTCTAAAGCATCTGGGTACCATGGTGATCATACCAGACAAGCAGACAGATACACTTGTGCTTAATGGGTCCTYTTCCATAAGAAGCTGGGATTCATGTTAACAGTGTTCTCTAGTGAAACCAGTGTTTCCAAGTGTTCTTMTGTGCCATTTTTTAGTAAATTAATTAAGGACACAAAGCTAAGGAGGTGTTTTAGCTAAGCTTATACTGCATTTGAACCTGTAATGATACATCAGCTTAATCACCACATGCTATGGTAGAATTTGTTTTGTTGTTGTATTTCTGAAATAGCATMGCACTGCACTTTGAAATCTCATTTAATGTAAGTGTGTCACCCTAAATATAAGAAAAAGTACCCTTCAGGTCAACAGTCTGAAAAGTATTGCATCTTCCAGGCAGCTCTAATTATGTATTGATTGTACTTAAATCTTGCATTACAGTTCATTTCATATTACATTCGTGCATTTGGGGTCTTTTTCCCTTGTGTTGTTTTGACAGTTTTTAAATAATAATACGTGGGTGAGTGTTTACCCTGGACCAGCCATTTAGTTTTATTAGCATACAGAGGGCAATGAGGCAGAGAAGAGAATGTCATGCCTATATAGTAGTACTTGTTCCAAGTAGCATCTTTCCAAAGRCTGGGGACTATTCCTGGGGAAATTATTCAAAACACAATGATCATGCAGTGATTTAACACCGAAAAAAAAGGAAAAAAAATATATATAAAGTGCCTTGAGTTTTTATTATATTTGTTTGCTCCTTGACCAGAAATGATGTGTCTTTATTTCTCATTGTTCAGGCTTTCTGTTATCACTCTTGTTGCAGTCGTTTGTCTTGATTTTGTTCCTTGGAGCAAAGAACTAGAGCTGCTTGTGTATCAGAAGTATGAATCCATTAGATGAAAAACAGATTTTCAACGCAAATTTGGCCGAAAATGAATAAATCCCACAACTTGCCTTTTTCTTTCTGTAATTCGTTAGAAATCATGAGCATAGAAGGGTGTATGTATCCCAGCACAGTTTGGAAGTACCATGCACTCAGAGATGACAGTACTTTTGGGAACTTGTCAACACAAAGCACCTTGTAAATCCAGGCGCCCATTGCAGCAACTGTAGCTTTCCCAGTTACAAACATATTGCCCGGAGATTTGAAACAATTATGCATAATTGTTCTCACAGAATGGGAGAAACAAGCCTCTGGGCTGTTGTTTGGATGAAAGGACCAGGGCACTTTCTCACAAAGCTGTGTGCAGTATGGAAAGCTCTGGACCCACTGAGGCTCAAACACCAAAATGTGCTTTCTGCAGAGTGTTTCTGAGGCTCAAACTCCAAAATGTGCTTTCTGC